ATGGTTGCTCTGAGGTATTAATCAATTGTTGTGCGCGGCATTAATTTCCCGGTGTTTATCTCTGCCGCCATCTTAGTTTCCCTTATCATTCGGGTCTCCATAGTTATTAACCTTGATCAGCGGTTCTCAACCTGTGGGTCGCGACCCCTTTGGTGGTCAAACAACCCTTTCACAGGGGTCGCCTAAGACCATCCTGCATATCAGATATTTACATTTTGATTCATAACAGTAGCAACATTACAGTTACGAAGTAGCAACGAAAATAATTTTATGGTTGGGTCACAACATGAGGAACTGTATTTAAAGGGTCAGAAGGTTGAGAACCACTATCTAGATCATAGTTACTAACCAAAAGGCCCTGCTCAACCTTAAATAGTTTTCCCCACTAACCTGCACAATTATGAGATTGAGAGGTCAAGACATTTATAATAAAGTGAACTACCACAGATGTGAATGAGAGCTTCCCATTAATATGCATTGCTACCTTATAAAGCAAGGGACATTTAAATTGGAAATAGGAGCAGAGTAGGGAGGTGGTGAAGGTACAGAACACAAGGAAAGCTGGCACTGTTGGAATAAAGAACTTGATACATGGAAAGTAGGAAATCAGATAACTGAAAGGAACATAAGAGAAAGTAAGGAGTCAAAGTTTATTGAGACTCTCAGCCTTTTGTTTCTAGATAATGTACCTGGTCTATTGAAAAGTAGTTATAAATGATTTCAGGTTCTTGAAAAACATTTTCTAGTATGTATTCTTATTAGTAGATGATATAGGATGTTATTGTTGGTAACAGTTTATCTTTTTATTTGGAATCATGATTCTGAGTAGCAGGTACCAGCTACTAATGTATGGAAGGTGCAGGCATAAACTGATCTCCATGCTTAGAAGTATGTGTTGCCTAAAGAAATTCCTCTATCATTTATTCAGATACTCATTGAGCAGATTCTCTATGCTGTGTCCCATAAATAAGTAAATAGGCACATGAGATATAAACTTTCCCCTCAGCTAACTCCTAGTTTAGTTTAAGAAATAGATCTAATAAATAATCAACCAATTCGTTTTCTAAAAGAAATTTAGATGGTTTGTCCTAAAATCCAGTTGATTAAGGGATGGGAAAAAATTCTACTTAAGGGTTCTAGCTTGAGTTTTTGTTATTTTTAACTTTGTGCAATTTTTATAAAAACCATAAACCTTTGCAAATAATCACTGACCTGAATTAATTTTTATTCATTTTTTTGTCCTCTGGAACTTGATTGAATCTGATAAAACAGTGTAAAAACATACACAAAACAATTTTTCAATGAATATATGTCAATTTATATTTTTCTGAATCTAAAAGTTTTAAACTGTTTTTGGTTCATTATAGAACACCACACAATAGCATAAAATGAACATTTTATTTTGTATATGCTATGGATAATATTGGCAATTCTTTTATGTCTGCAAAATGATACTTTTACCCTTAGAAACTTTGACATTATTCAGCAAGAAACCTCATGTACACAAAGTGAAAAAAGTTTCCAGTTTTTTTAATTGCTTCATTTAGTATATTTTACAACATATTTATTTATTTCCCTAAACGAGTTTTAATGGTTTTATAGGAATTCTGGAAGATAACGTTCTCTTGGTTGAGCTTTTTGATTCTCTTGGTGCTCCTGGAATGACTCCTATTAGTATTAATGACCAGCTAATCAAAGAGGGCCTAGCATCTTATGAAGTAGGGTAAGTACACCTGTAAACTTTTATTTTTAGTTCATATGTAACACTTTATTCACAAGAAGGGAAACTGGCATGTCATTCCCCTTTGGGTATCTACTTGGGCCATAGGTGGGATTTTTTTCCCTGTTGTTAGGTTGGGAACAAAATTGAAGTCATTAGTCTAATAGGGACTACAGTGGCTTTTCCCTCCAACCCTAAGGAATCCTGAAACCACGAGAATGGCTCCTAGAGATTGAAGGTACATTTTAGAAAAGGATACTGGCACCTTATTTCTAGATTGAACGTCTACTTGGAAAGCCTCTTGTACCTGTTTGAGAAGAGAATTAGGAAGAGAGAAGGCAGGATACAGAATAAGCATACTGGTAGAGTACCCCACATTTCCATTTGGAGAAATGTGAATTTTCCTGGGTTCAAGCAGATACTTTGAAAGAGAAGCAGGTTTGAGCCATTGTGCTGATACTCAGGGCAGGACAATGGTTGAGATGACACTAGAAGCAGAAGGACAGAGTGTTGAGGAAGAGATTGGGAGGGTTTGGAATCAAGACAAAGCAATTCTTCCACAATAGGGACTTATGCAGTGGGGTGGCTCTTGACGGATTTTCTGAAGAACTCCCACATATAGCCCTTAAGAAAGCCAGTATTTGTTAACACCCAGAGAAGGGAAAGCCAGAGAAGCTGTGACACTCAGCAGAAGCCTGCAGTCATGTGCTCAGTGTGTGGTCTTGCTTCCCCTCCCAACCCTAACACTAGAAGAACTAGTAGCAAAAGAGAGAGGGCCTGTCCTTTTTTCCAATATATACTGAGCGGCCAGATTATTATGACCACCTGATGTTTGTAGGCAAATTAGCTATAATTTCGCGCTTAAGTTGCTAGAGGGCCAGACTGTTATAAATAGGGAAGCAGGTTGTTTACCATGACAGTAGAAGTGATTTTTTTCTGAAGATATGGGTAAACAACGTGATTTAACAGCCTTTGAACATGGGATATATTTGAACCCAAGT